GAAAAGAAACAAGAAGGAAGGACAAGGAAGGAAAAGGAAAGAGGAATTCTCTCCCTCCCTCTCTCCCTTCGTTCCTTCTTCTTTCCCTTCCTGTCCAACCCATGCATCTGTTGACTTCTGATTTGGCAGTATCGCTGGACGATATAGCGTCTGTGTGCGATGTGGTGTTTTGAAACTGGAGGTTTAAATCATAATAGCCAATTCTTTCTGGGGGTTATATACATACATCCATGTTGACCTGGAGGGGTACCAAGCAGATTCAGTACTGCAGAATCAAGCCAAGGTTGGGGACATTCTGGGCTCCTCAAATATCCTCTGCTTATCTGTTGGCTAGAGCAGATTTCTGCTTACTACCCGTCTCAGACTATATGTTTGCTTGAGCATTCTGGACTTAGGTACCATCAAGCACGATGCGATCATGCTCAAGAACCGCCGCTCCGACTATGTGGCAGAAAAATTCTTGCGACACTGAATAGCGCTCTATGGATGCCCCGCTCAAGTCACCCATGACCAAGGAGGAGAATTCGAACAGTCGTTCCACGCACTCCTCGAAGATCTAGCGATCCCCTCAAAGGTGACAGGAGCTCACGCAGCATGGCAGTTGAGCGCGGGAGAACGTCACGGAGCCACATTGGGAGTCATGTTTCAGGCAATTGTTGATGAGCATGGCATCACTGGCTATACCCAAATGAAGAAAGCTTTGTCCTGCGCTGTGATGGCAAAGAATGCTACCTTGACCAAGGACGGTTGCACCCCAAATCAAAGGGTGTTTGGCGTTGAGCACAAATGGCCGAGCTTGACTGCAGATGATGTCGGTATGAGCTTTGTCCAAGGTCTATCTGCAGACAGTGAGGTGGCCCGTGCACACAAGATGCGCACAACAGCTCGCGTGCGCCAAGATGTCCGAGACAAACTTCGAAGGACATTGCTACGCAAGCCACCCACAGCTACAGGACCATTCGTGTCAGGCGCTCAGATCTACTTTTGGGTGCCACAGCTCAAGCGCTACAACCGTGACAGTGGCCAATGGCGTGGTCCGGCTACTGTGTTGGTTCAAGAGCAACAGAAAAGATATTTTGTGAGCTGGCGAGGACGACTACTCCTACTAGCCGAGGAGAACATGAGGCTTGCAACTCCAGAAGAGCTGGCACATTCGGAACCGGTGAAAGAAGACGTCCTGGACATCCAAGAACTTCTGAGAGATCCAACAAGATCTAACATCTACCAGGACCTTCGAGCAAAACCACTGCCTCCGAGACCTCGAAAGAAGAGAGAACCTCGTCCTCCCGAAGATCCACAGAGGCTGAGAGCAAAGAACACCCTGAGGGGAACAAAGGCAGTCCGAAGGCTGTTGAACCAGCGACCTCAGATGTCTCAACTACCACGGCAGAAAAAGAGGAAGGAGTTGCCAGCGGCAGTTGAACCTCCACTACATCGAGAACTTGTGCCTCGAGATCCTCTACCTGCTCAACCCGTGGCAGCGCCATTGGAACCGGCACCGCGTGTCGTAAGGCGGCGCCTGGCTTTGGAGAATATTTCTCCTGATGTGGCCGAGCCACCACCAGTATCCGTGGCTGAGCCACCATTGGAACCCGCTCCTGCATCTGGTGTTGATGTGCCGATCGATGACTCAGGTGGCTTGTCTGACTACTCACCGACTTCGCGGCAGATTCACCACGCCCTGATCATCCACCAGACTGGGAGCAGTTGCCTACAGAGGCTCGAAGACAGCGTCTTACCGATGATGTTCCTTTCAGCATTAAACGGAAGCTGCAAGGATCCACTACTTCAGAACTCCCCTTGAAGAGGGCCAGACCGAGCACAGCTTTGTTTATGCAAGTGCTCGCTTCCACAGTTTCAGAAGGACCTGCCAACGAATGGATCACCCGCCATGAAGTGGAATTGCTCAGGCAACTCACTGGATTGCCGATCACGGCTGCGAGGCTACATCGCTTTCCCCGAAAACGGTTCATGAAGCCACCTCGCAAGCGAGCTCGGGTGACGATTCTCATGGGCAAGGATCCCGACAACATCTTCATGGTAGAAGAAGATCAAGAGGAAGCTGCAAAGCATCCCCGGCGGAGGGCATCTTTCCCATGGCGAGGAATGACTTTCTTTTTGAAGAGTGAGCCACCGCCCACAGAACAGAAAACATACATTCAGCTTCCTGATGGGATCTATGAGGCCAACTTGAAGGAGGAGGAGCGACGACAGTTTGAACATCATTGGCTGGAAGATCTGCACGATCACCTGTTGGCAGAGGTGATGCTTCTCAAGCTCAAACAGAGCGGAAAGGAGTTAGACCCGAAATTCTTTGATGAGGAGGAGCGTGCAGAATTCCTCAAAGCAGATGCCAAAGAGTGGCAACAGCGGGTCCGCAATAAAGTCATCAAGCGGCTGTCCAAGGAGGCGGTTCGGAATGGATGGAAAGGGTGGTCATTTGATGTCACCACGGCATTCCTTTCAGGTGAGAACCTCACCAGAGACGTCTATGTCAGAGCTCCAGAAGAAGGTCTACCAGCAGTTGAGGGAGAACCCCCAGTTCGAGCTGGAGAACTGATGAAGATCCTTCGATCTGCATATGGCTTAGTTGAAAGCCCACGGCTTTGGTACTTGCAAGCCAGCAAGTTGCTCACGACCACACCTCTGGAAGAGCTGCCCATTAGCAGGAGCAGTTTTGTGGCCGCGGAAGGCAACAAAGCCTGGAGCATTCTCAGCTTGCATGTTGATGATGGACTTTTGTTTGGCGATGAGCGCGATCCACGCTTTCAGAAGTTGAAAAGTGACATCAACAAGATGTTCACGATCAAAGAGTGGAAGTCGATCCCTTTGACCTTCCTCGGCGTGGACCTCAAGCAAAAGGGTGAAGAACTTTTTGACGATATGTCAAACTACATCGCCAAGATCGCCCTCCCAAACATGAAGCTGGAGCCCAAGAATGATGACAAGCCACTTGATGCCCAGCAGCTCACAGCATATCGACAGCTGGTGATGAGGTTGCGATGGCCAGTCAATGCCACAACTCCTTTACAAGACGAGCAAGCTGGCACAGCGCGCAACAAAAGCCACGATGGGTGACTACAAAGCGGCGCTTCAGCTTTTTGAAGAATGCAAAGAAGAAGCCCGCCAAGGCAGAGCTGCCTTGCCATACCCCCGGATTCGTGGCAAGTTGTTTTTGGTGACCTACTTCGATGCCAGCTTGGGCAAAGAGAAGGATGGCAAATCGCAACTAGGTGCGATTCATTTTCTGTCCAATGAGGATGTCAATCATGGACCACAACCAGCTGCAGCAATCGACTATACAACCAACAAGAGCAGCAGGGTTGTTCGAAGTTCCATGGCGGCAGAGTCGTGTTCGCTCAGTGTGGCGGTTGACAGGCATCTCTACATCCGCCTGATTGCGGACATGATGTTGCATGGTGTCTTCAAGGTTGGCTCCGACTGGCGTGAGAAGCTTCGCGTTGGCGGTGGCATCGTGACCGATGCGAAGTCTCTTTTCGATCATCTTGGAGCGACTGGTCAAATTCCAGCTGAAAGACAAACCATGTTGGATCTGCTTGTCGCTAAGGACCTTCTGGAGCAGCAGATCTACAGGTTGTTTTGGGTACCGACCCATCGACAGCGCGCTGACGGTCTCACGAAGGCCATGAGAAACGTGCTGTGGGAGGAATACCTACGGAAGAAGACCATAAGCCTCAAAGAGACGCCGGAGGAACGCGAGATCGAAGAGCATCGTAAGCAGTTGAGAAAAGGACAACGAGAACGTCGAAAGATTCGATCAAAGCAAATGGCATCTTCGACCTCAACCACTTCATGGCAGAGCCAGCAGAAAGCCACATGGCAGAGCCAAAACAAAGATTCTGGCAGCGCCAGTGCAACTCTTTTTGGCTGAGCCATTTCAGAAAAGTGGATTTGGCTGCGCCAGATCCCTAATTCATTAAATCCGAACAAGCCAACATCCTTCCTTCCCAATGTGGAAGATGGCAGTTGCTGGTACTTGCCGGTTGTTGGTGGCATGTTCGGTTCCGCTCGCTAGCTTGATCAAGCGCATGCAGCAAAAAGCCGCGCTTTTGCTTTAGCTTTCTACTTAGAGCCCAATTCATCTCCGCACAAGCAACCAAGCAAGATAAGCAAGCCAACAAACGCACCATGAAGCATCCTCTGCATGCACAATCCGGATCAATCCAGCAGTGAGCGCAATCAAGGATCACTGTGGAGATTTTCAATCAGAAAGAGCAAGAGACCGTCTCAGACGAGGAAGTAAGTGCAAGCAATGAGCCACGACAACCAGTCAATCAAAGACTTTGATTGGTTGCTGCATAGCAAGCATCCAGCCCAAAATCATAACGGCAAACAACACCAGGGCAACTAAGGAAGACAAGGAAGTAGCAGAGACATTGACTGACAACCCTTACAAGGATCCAAGTCAGACTAGGCCAAGGAAACAGGTGAGAAGAGGGAACCAATCAAGCAATCAGGCAACCAATGAGCAGAACGAACATCTACCAAGCCAAGCAACCAAGCGTACATGCAACAGTATTCAGACCGCAACCAACCAACCAACCAGCCAGCCAACCAAGAAAGAAACCAAGCAGCACACCAATCAGCAGCCTGACGTGGCAGCCGACCAACCGACAAAACCTTAAGTCCTCAACTCCAGCTCCTGCCTGATTTGGATTGCAGTACCCTTCCCAAAACCAGCGAGCAAAACAACCAACCAAGTGACCAGCCTGCTGACTGATGAACGAACCAAATTAAGATAAGCAAGATTTCCACTATGTAGGCTTAGCGGCTTACCTACCTTTTATCCAACCATTGGCCAACTGAGCTGCGATATCTCAACATGGTGATCCAGCTACCCACAGGTCCTTTTTGTTTTACATAGTTCCAAGGACCAGTGCTTTCGAGGGTCCTGGATCTCACAGCAGCATTCTTTGTCTCTCTCTCTCTCTTCTTTGTTCCGTTTTTTGTTTTTTGCAGTCCTGATGTCCTTGCTCGAGGTCCTGTGAGCCTGAAATTAATCGAGTGAAGTTCGAGCCAGACAAGCAGTACATTCTCTTGCTTTGCAGTGACGGTGTTTGGGAAGCTTGGATTTCACACCATTACTCCAGGAATACATAGCATTGAAGAATGCCCTGTGTGAAGCCAAGACACCTACAGAATCCGCTATGAAAATAGATCAGGAATGGGATGTTCTCGAGTTCTTCAGGAAAACCAATGTGGGTGAAAACGCTTCAAGACATTTTGCAATGAGTGTCCTACAAGAGTGTTCACAAGAGCAACCTACAAGAGTGTCCTGCAAGCATGTCATAGAAGAGTGCCCTGCAAGATTGGCCTACAAGAGTGTCCCACACAAAATGTTCAGCAAGAGTGTCTGTCACACAAAAGAGTGTCCGCAAAAATGTCGCGCACGAGTGTCCCACATGCGTGTTGCGCAAGAGTGTCCTTACAGAGTGTCGTGCAGGAGTGTCAAGCGAAGGTGTCGCGCAAGTGTGCTACAAGAGCGTCCTAGAAGAGTGTCACCCCAGAATGTCCTTGAAGAGTGTTTTGAAGAGTGCCAAGCAAAAGTGTGAAACAAACGTTTGGTTGTTTGTGCTTGTTTGTGCTTGTGTGTGTGTGCGCATTCGGGTTGGGTTGGCTCCATCTTGTTTTCTTTAATGAAGAGGTTAGGCAACGAGTAGCTAAATCTGGGACGAAGAGTTCAGGCTTCGAAGCTCAGGCCTTGAGGAACCCTTTGCGTTAGGGGGACCCCTTGATTTGTTATTGATTTAACTTAATGTGAGGCTTCCTTTGAGTCCTTTTTGGAGGAACCCTTCGCTCCAGTTTCTTCAAGCCGTTTTGAACTTCCCTGTAGCACGTACCGGGTTTCGAAGACCTTTCTAGAGTCTAGCCAAGGAATTTATCTCCGCGCAAGAAGTCCGGGATCCCAGATACACATTGATCGGATAGCAGTTCGTCTGAAGGGCACTGTGCCATTTTGGCCACAACTACCTGTTGCTACTACGGTCACGACCGTAGCCTGTTTCTAGCAAGAAGGTTTGTGTCTAGCACCCAAGCCGAGTAGCCTTCGTTGAAGCTTCGCAGACTCTCCAGATTGGCCGTCAAGAGGCCGTGGACACCGTCAGCAAGTTCAGTGCCGGCAAGGCTTGCAAGGCGGCGGACGAATTGGTGACTCGAATTACCAAATCAGCAAGGCAGTTTCCCTTAAAAGTCTAGGAACCAAATGAATAGTGCGATCGCTTCTTCAAGGAAGCTCCCCCCTGCCTGAGGGCGGGGGGAGCTTCAAGAAGCGTGAGCTATCCTGCGTCCTGTCGGTAGTAGCTACTGAAGCTACTAGCTACCTCTAGCTACTACCTACCTCACCTCTACCGGCCTACCCCCCTTAAACATGTTTTTTTGTTTCTTATTCTTACTCAGACCTTTCGCTCTTTCTTCCTTTCTTTCTTCCTTTCGCTCTTTTAGGGCCCCATGCTTTGGGCTTACATGTTGGTTTTTGGGAAGAGCTGTGTGGGTCGGATCGCTTTGACTCGCACCTCCACACGGTTGCATCACCTGTTCGGCGTCTACGCCGGTATATACATATACTGTAATCATATGAATATAATCATCCTGGAGTAGATGGAATTGGACACGAATGCTTAATATGAAAGAATTGCCCACAGATAGAATATTGGGCCCACTCATATATATATATATATATACTCCAGGATGTTATCAATTGATTGGTGTCCTCTTTATTCCTCAGATAGCTGCGGGCTGTAGGGGCGTTAACTTTTCAATGGTGTGGCTCTGGATCGGCGTATTCGTTTTGCGGGTGCTGCTGCCGTGCTGGTGTGCAGGTGCTGGGATGACATCATGGCATCGTCATGTTATGCAAGGGGTGAAATCATGTCACGCCAGGGATGACCTCAAATGTCGTCCGGGCAGCTTTGGCTGGTCCTTGCCCATCTTGCAGTGTTGGGCAAAGCAGGCATTCAGCTGATAGATGTTGGGCATATTGGTGGGCTGGTCTGATGTTGCGTGCTGCGGTGACGGCTGTCCGTGGCGTGTCCTTTAAACCTATACACCCACTATCTGGGGTCTATGTCGGTGTAATTCTGTTTCTTCACCCTTTCCATCGCCAAGTCCATTTCCTCCTCTTCCTGCTGCTTTTCCTCTTTCTTTGCTTGCCCTTTTCCTCCGCGTCTTCTTGCTTTTCTCTTCCTTATCCTCTCTGTCTTCTTGTTCTTCTTGCAGCCGACCACTTCTTAAGAACGTCGTGCAGTGAACCATGGGCAGAACGAGGGGGAAGGAAAAGGGGGAAATGCGAGCCCGCTGGGAGGTTGGTGACACCCATTGATAGAATATGGATAGAATGTTTGTGACTAAACCTGTCATTCAGAGATGGAGGTCACATATGTTCACACAGGAGCGGCACCCTGCAGCGGCACCAGCGCCCAAGCTTGCAAAAAGCAGCGGCACGCCGCAGCGGCACCGCAGCAAGAACCCCAATAGCTCATGCTATCTGGGGAATTAGGCCAAGGCCAAAACATAGATAGAATATTGATTTTAGCAGAGCTTGCATGCTGGGCGCCGCTGCTGTGTGCGCTTGTGAGCTTGGGTGCTGGTGCTGTTGCAGGGTGCCGCTGTTGTGCGCGCTTGGGAGCTGGTGTTGTTGTGTTGCAAGTATAGAAGAGGTGCCTGTGCGCGCTTAGGAGTATGGGTGCTGCAGGGCCGCTGTAGGGTTGCCCACAAAAATCATTTACCATCTGGGGCCTGGGCCGGCGTAACTCCTCAAACAGTTTACTGTTGGGGTTCTCTCTCTCTCTCTCTCTTTCTTTCTCTCATGAAAAAAGAACTGGTCACAGTGGCAAACCGCGCCCTTGAGCGCTGTGTCCGGGTTTGTCCTCCTCTTGTCCTCGAGTCCTCCTCTTTGGTCCTTCTCTTGTCGTCCTCTTGGCCTTCTGGTGCTTGCAGTTGTCCTGCTGTTGTCTTCTGGCCCTGGGATTTTTTCATGACATGTATCCCGTGGCTTTTCACATGTGACCCAGGCATCAATGGTTGTTTTCAGCTTTCAATAATTTTTTGTTTACGTGCCGTTCCGAGGCTATAGGTATTATACAATTGCAGATGCTCCCACCAACATTAGAGTTTAAGGAGTTGACGTTTAAAGATAATACTGAGACTGTTTGGGGTCTATGCTGGTACAATTTTATTGAAAATGAACACATTCTATCTACTCCAGGATGATTGTATTACAGTAATATATTCCCACTATATATATATATATACACAGGCACATGCACATGCACTATGTATCTTTTCGTTGGCAGATGCCGTTGTTTGTAGTGCATGTAGAATAACTGGAATGACATTGTTGGCTTTTGGATTTAGATCTTTTTCAATCTGGAGTTATTCACATGGATTTGAATTGATTGCGTTTGGAAATCTTGACGCCTAGTTCTCTACGTCTAGTGACTTGTCGTAGATGAATCTTCGGAGACTGAATTTGTGGAGCTGCTGGCTCACTTACTCGCATTCACAGTCAGTTGAGCCTGTGGCCTTTGGTGTGATCAATTGAGGCCAAAGAGGCATGGGACAGATGGATCAAAGAGGAGGGTGGCAGCGTAGCAACTTGGTCTCAAGTTAAGGATGTACTTGGTCTCAAGTTAAGGATTTCTCCACAAAGTGCAATGGGACAGGAGTACTCAGTAGAGGTCAGAGACTTTGGAAAGGGAGAGCAACAGTTCTTGTTGTCACTGTAAGGTGATTCCTCGCAGCATTAGCTACAATGGACACCAGTTTGATCGGACACGGCTGTATCAAGGGCTGTCAGTCATATACTTATACTTATAGATATTTGTTGTATATACATATATACATATACAGACTTTCTTGAGAAGACCGAGTCTAAGCTGACATGAGGTGGTCAAAGAAACAAGAAGCAAGATTTCATGATCAAGATACTGAAATCACAATTACCGCCAAATCATATTTTTCGGAGAAAGTCTGTCCAGCTTGAATTGCTGTAGGTTGAGCACGATCCAAGCGTGACTCATGCGACAATCGAAAGGAAAGAAAACGACAGGTTTGCTACCACAGGCTCGTTTGAAAGGAGGGATGAAAACATTGAAATGGATCTGCCGGCTCGTAGAATCCCCGTTCTCACTTTGCCGCATTGACAGTGAGGTGGACGATATCACCGTGGTTCTGCTTTACATGGGCTTCCCCCCAGAGCAAAGTGAATCCTGAGTGGCCTTATCTCCGTGCGCAAGAGCGTCTATACAATATCTAGAAACGACATGAAATGAATGAGCAGGTATGAGAGGATTATGATTCATAAGCATCAGTTCGTATCATTACCTGCTTGACTGAGGGCCCAGGGGACAGCAGAATGCTGTCTTGCCATGGGAACACGGAGAAAAGTCCTGTGACACTACGCACCACAAATAAGCTTCAAAATGCCAAGGGAAGACCGCTCCGAGGTGCACCAAAAGACGTCTTTAGTTAAGTTGCAGCATTCCAGGTTGTGGAAGTCGTTTTAAGGTGTGCTCCTGTAAGGCACCTGGATTGAAGAGTCTGGGTCTGCCGTACTCCGGATTCGTGGCGCGCCACGCGACGCCACACTGGGGTACCCCATTGCTGTGTGCACGCCGCCTGAGCGGACCTCTGGCATGTTTCACTGAGCTTGCTGATAGATTGGGTCGCCCTCCTCCATCGTTTGGGAGCAGTTCTAACAGCTTTGTGTGGCCAAGATACAAAGGTTTTTGGTGACTGGCAACTGGTGAGCCCCTTGCCCTACTTTTACTTCATTTCCGCACTTGGGTACTTGGATTTGGGATGCATTGTAACTTAACCAAGCACTGTGCAAATGTGGCTTGTGAGTGGCTTGGCTGACCGAAGTCTCAGCAAGCCATTTGGAATCTGGTAAGCAAGCTCCGTTGGCAGGTCCCAAGGGCTCCTGCTCCTTGCAATGCTTTCGAGTGCAAACGCCGCACCATATCTCTCACCCACAGCAGGGGAATGCGCTGAAAACTTGGTCACCTACTTGGCTTCCACCTGCAACCTGAATCCTTTGTATTTTGTGCTTCCTACAAGTATCACAGAGGTTGCTGGTATTGAGAACCAGGTTCCTACTTCCTGCCGGTGCCTTGGAGGAGCTGTTTCACAGGTCAACCTCAACCTCAACAATAGTCCCTTCACGGCTCACATCATAGTTACCTGTTTACAGCGAACCAAAGCTCACTTCCCTGGAGATAGCAAGAATATCAGCTGCTGTTAATTCAAAAATTCTATGTATTCTTCACTTTCAGAGGCCAATCTCTTGAACACGTGTATCTAAGATGTTTAAATGTTGCAGGACGGAAGAGACGCATTGTTTGCTTAGTCCTGGCAAGGTGAAATCAAGGGTGTTTTGGTCCCCCCCATAGTTCTGGTCGACTCGTTTGAACCGAATATCTTCTCGAGCAACGAAGACACATGTCCACTTGTTCTTACTCCACGCAAGGCTCTTGCATGCTCGCTTCTGGGGCAATGGCAATGTTTTATTCTATTTTTACTCTAAACCAGGTTCACTGGGGTCTTTTCTTCCTCCTGTCCTCTGCTGTCTTGGTGGTTACGGATTCGCGAAGGTGTCCAGCACGGCAAAGCATGAAGTGCACGGATGAGCAGAGCCACAAGTATATAGACAATAGTCCTGGAGAAGGTGCTGAATTTCACTAGACTGAGTACCAAGTGTTCCAGCTTTCCCCTATGATTGGGTAGTTTGTAGGATCAGGAAGGCAGCAGAGCCACGGTTCCGTAGTTACCTCCACCATTCTCATGATTCAATGATCTCTATACCCTGGCTGGCCAAGCTATTCGGTGTTTGTACCGGTGCACATGGTTTGTCCTGTTTTAAGAGGTGAAGCAGTGCCACGTACTGAGGGCTTTTCTCTTCTGCCAGCTTTTGCATGTTTTTGAACGGGCTAGTGAGTTGCGTAGGGAAGCCGCAGGGAAGCCTCTCATTTTCCACGTCCCGCATGCTCATTCCTCCTCCTGCCCCCAGCCTCATGTTTCCTACGAGTGATTTTTAGGCTTGCGGATCATTCGCCTCCCAGGTTGTCGGAAAGTGTAATCTTGGCATGATCAATGAAATAGGGCTCTCACTTCAACTTGTGGTGACTAGCCGTCAGTGCCAAATTTGCACCGCGCCACGCTGCTTCTTCAGCCCTTTATGGCTAAAGAGACTGTGGCGCTTCGAACCGTGGTGGCCAAATGAGGGGAGTTGGAGCTTCAGAAGACCTTTGCCAAGACGGGTGTTGCCTGGATGTGAGGATGTGTCTATAAAAAAAGGGTTCTCCAAAATGTGCAAAGTTGATGCGGACTGCATGGTACGAGGAACTGAAATCGAATTGAAGGGATGAACCCTTTGCCAGTAACATACAGTAGCGGATTAGTCCACACAGGAACATTAGAGTAATGGATTAGCCCCCACAGGGGACAAGAACTTTCAGGGGTTCTTCTAAAAAGTGGCCTTTGGTTTGCTTTTTACTTCGGAAAAAGCGCGTTTAGAAGACGCGGGCTTGAGTGTCGCCCAATCACTTGGTGGAGGGTAGATGGAACCAACTCTTGTTTTTTGTGTGTAGTGCTGAAGGATTTGAGAGCGGAAGACTGCACTTGCGTTCTGAGGAGGTTCTGTCATTCTCCAACAAGAAGCTACCATTGGGGATTTACGTTAGGTCAAGCTGCCCTGCCCTGAGAGCAACATTAAAGCACTTGGAGCAGAAGTTCCCTTCATTTGGCCGGAGATTTTCCGGTTCCGATGGTGTGTGATGCTGAAAGCACAAGGCACAGGGCATTATGTTACTGTTTGGAGCGTTGCCTCGTTGAAACACGGAACAACTTAAAACTCAAGATGAAGCCAAAGAAGCCCAAGCTTTGTGCTTGAGCCTCCCTCCAAGAGTAGTCTCAGAAGGCTCATCCGACACCTCCCCGCAGTGACCGCGGCCGTCCTTTTTCGAAGTTTCTTTTTTCAGAACAACTTTGTGGTCTAGTGCCTTGGGCAGATCTATCCTCTCTTGCGGGAACGACAAGGAGATATGTTTGTTGGGAGGAAATTGCTCGAGGGCGCAACAGAGGGTGATGCCAGAGAACAGGGTGGGGGAGAACACGGATGTGTATATATATATATATATGTTTATTCCCTGTTGATTTCATAGATCATGCCACGTTGGGGAAAGTTTTGATGGAATGGTTGGCCAACTTGAACCAGTTCGAAGTGCCTTACCAACTTACCAGCCAGCAAGAAGTGGAGCATTGACGCGCACGTTGTATCCGTGCGCCAAGTGGCTGCGGCTGCTGCGTCGAGCACTTCGCAAGGTCGCCATCCTTAATGGGCAGGCGGGAGCTGAGCATTTCACTGTGCACAAAAAGGTGGAGGCGGTGTTGAAAGCACATGGGATTCGGGGTTTGAACTGCGTGTTGGATCCTAAGGCAGCACAGGATGACCATCCTTGATTGCAGGATGACTCCAGGATGACCATTTTTTTGAGAATTTCAGATGCAGGATTGAAGTTGAGGGTTTGAATTTGTAGGGGAGGCTCTTTCCCAACCTGGTGGCAGTGTTGTGCGACATATTTGCAAGTGTTTTCTATGGATATAAGATATTTGTACTGTAGATGAAAGCAGAAGGACACGATGCTCTTCAAGGTCTTCAGCTAAATCATCCCACCTTTGAGTGATTTATTCGCTCAAATCTCTTTGCTCTCTTTGCAAGGAATCAGGGGTTGATCATGAGCATGGGAAGCGTTTCGTCAGCTTCTGCTTGGCTTGGTGCCAGCGAACATGTAGCATCAACAAGGACAGGACCTCATGTTGCTCACTCCAAGAGAGGAGCCAAGTAGAGTGAGTAGCAGCTCTGAAGAATAGTATTTGTTGCCAGGCTCCAAATCTTCTAGGGAAACAAATGTTCAGACCAGATGGATGAACATCTCTCATGCACTCTCATGACTGAGCACCATGGTTGGCAAATGGCTTTGCTACATCCCAGTGACAGCTGCTCGGGCTCTTTGAGCTCAAGGTCAGTTTTCAACCCACTCTGCGCAAACTGGTTGAAGAAGTGCCTCGAACCACATACAGTTTAGAGAACATCAACGACATTGGACATGCTGCCAGCAGACTCAGGTCATTTTGAGTGGCCAAACGACCGCGCTCAAGTTGCTTTTCTCTGGTCCAGGAGTATCAGGCACCTACCGTTCCTCAGTTCCAACTTTTCAATGAGTCTGTTTTACTAGGAACAAGAAGCTACTAGGTGAAGGGCATCGCTATTAGGTTGGAGGCCATTCCTACTAGTAACAAGAAGCTACTATATAGTACAGTAAAACAATCTTTTGAATTATAGGACCGGATAACCCTACATGTTAACAACTTCACCAGACACAGGAGCGGACAATTGGTGGTTGTTGGGTGACAATTGGTTGGTGGCAGTTTGTTGGTGGCAGTCTGTTGGTTACAATTGGTTGGTGGCAATTGGTTGGTGGCAGTTTATTGGTGGCAATTGGTTGGTGGCAATTGGTTGGTGGAAGTTTGTTGGCGACAAATGGTGGGTGGCAATTGGTTGAGGACAATTGGTTGGTGACAAGTAGTTGGTAGCAATTGGTTGATGACAAAAGGTTGGTGACAACTGGTGGGTGGCACTTGGTTGATGTCAACTGCTTGGTGACAAATGGTTGGTAGCAACTGGTTGGTGACAATTGGTTGATGACAGTTGGTTGATGACAATTGGTTGGTGGCAATTGGTGGGTGGCAATTGGTTGGTGACAACTGGTTGGTGGCAATTGGTTGGTGGCAATTGATGGGTGGAGTGCGCCAAGTGCTGCGCCTGCCACGCAAATCACAGCACGTGCTACACAAATCTCTCGGCACAGCGGCGGAGGCCCAGCGACACCAGGGCAGCGGGGCGTACATCCGACACCCTGGAGAACCACGCAAGTCGCAACAGCACAGACACAAATACCAGCGGCACAGCGGCGGAGACCCAGCGACACCGGGGCAGCAACAGGGCGTACATCCGACCCGCTGGAGAACACCAAGGTACTGCAATCACAGCGGCGCAGACGTAAATTGGTTGGTGACAATTGGTGGGTAGCAAATTGGTGGGTGGCAATTGGTTGGTAGCAATTGGTTGATGACAACCGGTTGATGACAATTGGTTTGTGACAATTGGTGGGTGACAATTGGTTGGTAGCAATTGGTTGGTGACAATCGGTTGATGACAATTGGTTGGTGACAATTGGTGGGTGGCAATTGGTTAGTAGCAATTGGTTGATGACAATCGGTTGATGACAATTGGTTGGTGGCAGTTGGTCGGGAGGAGGGAGGAGGAGGAGGAAGGAGGAACGGATACCACACTAAAAACAAAACCCCACATGTCAATGTGGGGAAAAACTGTTGTGGTGACCTTGTGTGACATTTATTGTGGCACCTGGCAGCCCTAAGTGGCGGAATTCGTGCTTTGGCTATAAGGCTATATATTTAGATGTACACACATTCTTCCCTGGTCTAAGGAAACACTTGGCCAGGATGGTACAACGCAACTTGGCAACATGATAACCAGTCTGAGCCGTTCGTAAACGAAACCAGTGACTCATCGAAAATTCGACGGCCGAGCCAATCAGGTGGGCGGTTACGTGCTGGACTCCGGTGGTGTGATGCTCTCTGGATACGATGGAAAGAGACAAGCCTATGACACAGCAGGTGATTTTGTCAGCACCAAGGACATCCAACAAAAACACAACAAATGATGAACTTCAAACATGTACATCGAACAAAATGCATGGTTCGTTTTGCAATCCTGCCATTCTTGACTCTCTTCTCATGGAACGTGAAGGACTTCAGTTGACTTTTCGTTCTGCCAGCTTCGTTTGAACCCATAAGTTTACTGCAATCAGAATCTCACAATCCCTAGGTTCCGTTCATACGTTCTAGCCAGCAGTGTGGGCGCGCTTGCTTATTGCCCTGCAAAGGCTTGGTTGGCGTTCGCTTTGAGGACGGAGAGTGTGCGTCCATTCATAGCTCTGAATCGGAGCAGAGAAACAAGGTGAGAGTGGGGGCAAGGTGAGAGTGAGGGGATTTTTGAAAAGGGGGTCAGATCAGAGATTGAGTCAGGTGATTTATACAATTGTCCAAGGCTTATATAACTTGCTATGCTAAGCCGTAGGCTGGTCTTTACTGACAACACACTTCCCAGGTGGTTGAGAGGCAAACAGCATTGACCATTGACCTCTCAGGGAGAAGGATCCATCCACCCGCGCAGGACATTGCTGGGGGATTTCTGGAATTTGAGCTGCTGAGCCAATTTCGCAATAGGCACGATCTTCTGCATCAAGAACTCAGTTGGATGACACATCGAGATTGCGGATACATTGTGTTTACCGATGGCGATTCAAGAAGGATGAAAAATGAAGGTAAGGGCCCTGAGAGGGCCCTCACGGGGCCCTTACCTTCTTCTTTTTCCATCCCTTTTTTAAGACCATCCCAATTGATCAAATGGGACAGATGGGCCACCTTTTGAGTTGAAATGATTTGTTTTGGGTTTCTGATCGAACAAGAAACCATCGAAGACCTTTGAGCAGTTGGTTCCAGGCCACTGCTGAGTGTGGTGAATAGCTGCATGGGCTCTGACCGTGAAAATGACGGACACTTGGAGAATGGGTTTGAGACGGGGTGAGTGCACAGGTTTGCCGGTCAGGGACAGGATGTTGCAAGGGACTGCAAGGGGGCAGTTCATAACTGGAAAGATAGATGACTTGTTTTCACGGCAAATTGCATTTGTAACCCCCTTGCTTTTTAAGCACGCCATTAGTTCACGAAGGCTGCCTTTTGTGAGATTGGAAGCTCTTCTGAGGGTTTAGTCTTTGTAGACTCTCTCTTCATTTTGCGAGGTTGTCGGGTTCTGGGTGAAGCCACCTTTGTTTGACGTATGCTTCCAGAGTATCGAGTCTATGTGATCGCATTCATGTGAATGCTTGGACATATTTTTCTAGATCTGGATACTGAAAGTACATCGTACCCCATCCACATAGATACTCCTAGGAAGCCACTTTTGTCACGAAGCAACGAGGTCCCCCGTAGCCAGCATGCGCCGTATGGGCACAATCTGGTTAAACCGCTGCACCATGAGAAGGTATGGCCAGTGTATTCATTTGCGCAATCCGCAATTCTCTTGTTCCCTTCTGAGGGTTTGGCTTCTTGCTTTGGAGTTTGCTTTACCATCTATATTTCCATTCCTTCAGGTTCTTCGGCCTGGCGTACGGGCCATTGTGTTGCTGGCAAGCTGACCAGCTCCTTTGGCATCCCCAGGGTAGCACAGCATCTCCTTATAGGCCGCACACCCGACCTCCGTATACGGCTGGTGTTGTTCCTTCACTTTGCTTTGCCACTGCATCAGTGCCTTTGAATGAGCTACAATCTGTCTGCTTTGCAGATTGGATTCTTGTGGTGGAAAACCGCAGGTTTTGCTGGGAACTTTGAGGATGGCCTGAATTGGGTTCGCAGCTGAGTGAATGTTGTAACCTGTTCTGCAGTTGCCTTTGTACCTCGTTTGCGTTCCTTGTCTCACAGTTTCCAGCAAAGCAAGGTTCTTTAGTACATCAGCAAAAATTTGCGCAAGTTGCAGCCTTTGGACAATTTGTGTGAACGGTCAAGTCCTTCTGCATGAAACCACATGCATTCACAAGCCCTTGTCGCTCTCTTGCCGGTTTGCCTTTCGAGTTCTTCAGGCAGTTGTATTTTCAGCTTAAACAGGAACACTTGATTTGAGAGCAAGACACGTGTTTCTTGTTTTGCTCACATCTATTGCACCCTTTTTCTGTTGCTGGATCTTGCCATTTGCTACGTGCAGATGGCGGCCACACGAGGTGCTTTTTCGATTGCAGAATCACTCAGCGCATAGCGAGCCACTTGGATTTGACGCATTTGCTTGCACACCTAGAAGAAGGTTTGTGCACAATCGTTTGAGTATTCATTCAACAACACTTTGTTGTTTTTCCTTCAGATTTCTGAGCGCTATTCGTTGAAGGAAGTATGCACAGCTGGATACTTTTGATCTAGGGTCGTTACAAACTACATGGGAGGGTAAATGTAGCAGTGGATGCCTGTGAGGGTTCATGCGAACCCTCGGCAATGTAGGTGGGTGATCTCTCTTGCATGACACTCTGATGATAAGTTCTTTGGAAGTTGTAACTCGACTCATACTCATGTGACATGTGCTAATTCTAACCGGGGTCAGCACTCTCTGTGTGTGTGTGCCCCTTGTAGCCACAGGGATTCTTTTGCATTGTTTTAGCAGGGGAGCGGTGAGCATTCTTGAAGTCACCGCTCAACGAAGACACTTCAAGTTTGCTGTGAAATGCAATCTGGACGCAGGTCACGAAAGCTAGCTGTAGCTAGCTGGAGTCTGTCTTGCTTTAGCAAGGAGGGTGGGAGCCGAGGACCTGAGTGCAGATACCTGATTTATCAGGCTTTAACCTCCCCCCCCCGCGGGTTCAACTCCACCCTTCTCCTCAGTACCTGCTGCTGCTTGGTCTCTTGCTGCTTGCATGCTTGGTGGTGCTGATTGCCTTTGGCTGCTTGCTGGTTGCTGCTGACGTGTTGTGGCATGAGCGAAGAGTTCGGTGCGGGAAGCGGGTGATGACAAGTTTGGTGATGTTTGGTGGAAGCATGGCAGTAGTTGAGTTTTCCCTTTGTGCATCTTATATTAACTATACTATTGTCACGCTGCCCAAGCTCGTGTCATGGTACGGTTGATGCCATTCATGCGGTTCAGGGTTGCTGCACTTGTTGCAACGCAACACTGCTGCTGCTGCTGCTGCCTTTGCTGCTGCTGCTGCCTTTGCTGCCTTTGCTGCTGCTGCTTTGCTGCTGCTGCTTTGCTGCTGCTGCTGCTTTGCTGCTGCTGTGCTGCTGCTTTGCTGCTGCTTTGCTACTCCTTTGCTGCTGCTGCTTTGCTGCTGCTGCTTTGCAGCTTGGCTGTTGCTGCTTGGCTGCTTGGCTGCCTGCTGCTGCTGCTGCTGCTTGGCTGCTGCTGCTGCTTGGCTGCTTTTGGCTGCTGCTGCTGCTGCTTGGCTGCTGCTTGGCTGCTGCTGCTGCTTGGCTGCTGCTGCTTGGCTGCTGCTGCTGCTGCTGCTTGGTAGCTGCTGCTGATGCTGCTGCTGCTTGGTGGCTCCTGCTGACGCTGCTGCTGCTTGGTAGCTGCTGCTGATGCTGCTGCTGCTTGGTAGCTGCTGCTGCTGCTACTGCGGCTGCTGCTTGGTAGCTGATGCTGCTGTTGCTTGGTAGCTGCTGCTGCTGCTTGGTAGCTGCTGCTGCTGTTGCTTGGTAGCTGTTGCTGGTGCTGCTGCTTGGTAGCAGCTGCTGCTGCTGCTGCTGCTGCTTGGTAGCTGCTCCTGCTGCTGCTGCTTGGTAGCTGCTCCTGCTGCTGCTGCTGCTGCTGCTGCTTGGTAGCTGGTGCTGCTGCTTGCTAGCTACGCCTGCTGCTGCTTCTGCTGCTGCTTGGTAGCTTCTGCTTGCTGCCGCTGCCGCTGCTGGTTACAGTTATTGTTGTTGTGGCTGTTGCTGCTGCTGCTGCTGCGGCGGTTGCTGGGGTGGTTGTGTGTTGCCATGTGTTGGCTGTGTTGGGGTCGTATTGGGGGGGGCGCTGTTGGCACTCTCCTTTTCCCTTGGCCATGGCATGTTGCGATTCCCGGCCTGGCTTTTGCTGCCTAAAGAGCCCCAGCGTTGTTTATTTGCCTAGCTTTCGCCGCCCCCCTCTGGGCCACAAGTTGCGCGTACCTGCGAGAAGACGATGAACGCATTGACTCTAGTGGTCCGCCCTGGCTCAGGCTGTTTGCAGGTCTTCTCAGGTTGCGGTAAAGTGCTAATGCGTTGGCAGTCACGCACGAACGTCGTCAACCTGTCGCGTGATCGTTGGAGCTTATGGCCTTTGAACATTGATGGACCTCCACTTGCTTTTAAGGTTCCCCACCTGTACTCTTAGGAAATGGTAACCTAGGCCGGCGTGTGGCGCTGCTTTCAGTTCAGTACGCAAAATCATAAGTGTGTCTCTCCTGGTGAGAGTCCAGAGTGAGCCCGACGAGTGCCCCCTGTGGACCCGTCGGACGGGTGTTAGTCTTCGTCCCTGCGCCCGGGACCAGAGTAGCTCGCAGCGAGCATAGGTGGCCTAGGCTGAGAGAAATTTGAGTTTTGTTTCATTTTGATTTTGGAACTCCAAGCTGGCTTATGCCTTTACGTGACCGCAGCGGTCTAAGCAGCCAGCCATTTTGGCACGGTGTACGTGGCCGCAGCGGCCGAAGCTTGTTCAAGACTTGTTGGAGTCTGTCGCGACCTTAGCCCCTTTCCTCCTCCCCTCCCCTCCTCTCTTCCCCCTTTGTCATCTTGGGGTGTTCCTGAATGTGATACTCAGGTTCACCCCTCTCTCACTGGTGTGTCCCTGGACGCTTGTGCGTAGCTGGGAACACCTGTCCTCTTCCTTCTCTTTTCCCTCTCTCTCTTTTCTCCTTCCTTTCCTTTTCCTCCTTCTTGATTGGGTGTCCCTGGATGCTTTCGTCATAGCTGGGAACCCGTCTCCTCTCTTCTTTGGGTGCGTCCTTGGACGCTTGTGTCGTAGCTGGGAACACCTTCTTCCCCTTTCCTTTCTTCTCTTTCTTTTTTCGCTTCTCTCCCCACCCCTCCCTCCTGTCGGGACCTTACAGTGGGATCCTACTAGGGGGTTGTGGCCTTACTAGTAGGTGCAAGGACGCTACTTTGTTGCTACTAGGGGTTCCTGGCCTTACTACTAGGCGCTGTGAAATGCAATCTGGACGCAGATTGCGCGTACCTGCGAGAAGACGATGAACACATTGACTCTAGTGGTCCGCCCTGGCTCAGGCTGTTTGCAGGTCTTCTCAGGTTGCGGTAAAGTGCTAATGCGTTGGCAGTCACGCACGAACGACGTCAACCTGTCGCGTGATCGTTGGAGCTTATGGCCTTTGAACATTGATGGACCTCCACTTGCTTTTAAGGTTCCCCACCTGTACTCTTAGGAAATGGTAACCTAGGCCGGCGTGTGGCACCGCTTTGAGTTCAGTACGCAAATCATAAGTGTGTTGCTACCTTAGCCTGGCAGTGGGTGTCCAGCTGCTTACAATAGAAGCAGGGAAAGACTTGCAGCGTAGCTGGTGCATCTGGTTGAAGCAGCCCCCGTTGAGAATGTCGAAACCGAGGTAATTAAGATCCTTGGTTGGTCAGCGCAATATAGAGCTGCGTACTGGTGGAAAACCAACACTTGTCATCAAGACATTACTGCCAAGTTGGAAAGGCAGGCGAAAGAAAACGAAGGAGAATTGAAACCATTCCTCAGCTGCTTGTAGCTCGTGAACTGGCCGCAGAAAGGATGAACATCTAAAAAATTGAGCTCATTACCATCGCAGCGCGGAAATTTCTGTGCTGTTTTAGCGGTGTCGCTCGGGATACTGGGTTTCCCCGGGGTTCCACGGTAACAACGGTAAACGTCGAACATGTTTTTTTTCAAATCTATTTTTATTTTCTTGCATTCTTGTTCTACCGTTCTCCCTCGTTGGTCGCTTGTTTTTTGTAAACATCGATTTTTCTTAAAACTTATCCGTTTTTCCCGGGTCGGTCGCCCTTTCTTTACCTCACGCGCAGTAAGAAAGGGTGAAATTCAATACATGTTGTTTTTCCGAAACCTTATCGCCCGGGTCAGTCGCCCATTTTTTTACTACACACGCAGCAAAAATGGTAAACATCGAAAATTGCAGTGCAGTATATTTTTTGCAGTTTTTCCCAGGTCGCAGGCCCATTTCTTAAAACGGTGGGTACCGCTTAGCAAAACAATGCGCGGGAACCGGCTTAGTGAAATTTGGTTTGGGCACTATAATGTGCTGCAGGAAGACTTGCAAGCTGAGGTTTACATATGCCTTTGGTACGCAGAACAAGACCAACCCCGGCTTTGCAGGCCGAGTGCAACTAGGCAAGATATGATGACCTGGAAATTTTGCAGTTGGATCAATGATAAACATCATCTGAAGCTGAGGTATATCTATGGTGTTCAACATGCAGCTGGCACCTCAAAGTCAATGTCTTTGAGAGCGAAGAGCAGATTTTGACTTCTGATTTCCACCTCAGGTAGAGAGTGCGGGGATGTGGAAATCTGTCACACGACCCTGCGCGATTGATTCTGAAGGCTGTATCACCAGCCACAACTTTCCAAGGCAGGACACCTTTGAGACAGGGAGTTTCAGCTTGATCAAGTTCCAAATAGATCCCTTGATCGCTTTGAAGTTTCAGCTTGCCAGTCTCGCACTGGGAGGTTTTATGGCTCTCAGGACAGCGTCAAAACGCTTCAAAAGAATGAATGCAGGCAACGGCAAAAGTGTTTTGAACCTGAATGCAACCTTTTCATACTTGCTCAGACAGTGACTGTGCATTCAACTATTGTTCCGACGATGTGTTCGCATGTGGCACTTTTGGGCGTTGAGAATTTGCTTTTCTGAACAACTTTCTCGTTCGAAGAATTCGCTCCGTTAGCAACACAACAGGAGCATTGCAGCCTGGAAGCTTGGCAGGATTTGACAATGGCACTTGGCGCCTGCGTGCGCGAATTGTATACTGTCTGCTTGCACGGTTATAGATGCAAAACGAAAACCCTGCTGTTGACATCAAGTTCCCAGATGGTGTCATACTAGTAGAACCAGATGTCTCTTATTCATCTATTGTACCAAGTTTCATGCCCACATGTTCTCCGCTTCAACATACCAAAGAGGAGAACCAAAACTTTGCAAAACACTACGCTGAACTTTTGAGTTGTCTTCAGGGCGAGTGTTTCTTGAAGATCGCTTTGAAGAACATGTGGTGTGAATCAAGGATATTGATGAGAGCCTGACTGGCCCGCTGCGTGTCACTGACTTTGAGACAGAAAAGAATCACGATGTCCTACTGGTCAATGGCCAGGCCAGTCTTTTTTGTTTCAGCATTGCAGGCAAGTTGCTTTGTCTCTTTGCCTTGCAGACTTACGTTTGGTATAACACTCGCTTGTACACGCCGAAAACGGCTCGCTTGCGCACGCAGAAAACGACTCGCTTGTACACGCACACGTTGGAAGAATAGGAAGCCTTTACCATCATGGCTGCGCCGGCACACACTCCCAATTGTGCAAGGATCATTTGTTTTCCATGAAGGCAGATCTTCAAGGTGTCAGGTCCTTCAAGGTGTTCGAGGCTTCCGCAGGACATTTCAGACACGAAGAGACATGAAGACATTTCTGCGCCGTGGCAGCTTCCTTGTCACACAGCCTTTGACTCTATCGCCGTTACTTACGATGAACGTTTATGGAAAGAGATCGGAATTCCTGCCGTGATTGGGGTGTGGTGCAACAGGTCATTGAACGGCCCGCGCGTTCCCTAGTGTTGGCTGTGACCCCACTGAGTCCACAACTACGAAGCCTATTCTATGCAAAAGTTGCCATTCCAACATAGTGTAGCCGTGAGCCACCCAACAACGGTTTTAGAGCCCGAAGGGCTCCAAAGTTGCATGCCCTTTGTGAGCCACCTGAGGGCAAAATTTAGGAGGATAGCTGTTGTGAGCCAAAGGGCGGTGGCAGGCGTTACCTTCTGTGTGTCACCGAGCGTAAAACTTTGTGGAGGAAGGGCCGTTCCAATGTGGCATACTGAAGTGAGGATGCGGGATGGCCGCAAGGAAGGACTCCCGCACTGCGTCCATAGAGTGTTGAACGCCGAGGTTCTTCCATGTAGGTGATCAGCGGGGAGGGTATAATTTGGAGAAGGACGGGGCCACTCCAATGTAACCTGTTGTGAGCGACCGGGGGATAAAATCTAAGAGGAACCTTTTGTGAGCCACCTGACAGTAAAATCTGGAGGAGGAAGGAACCCTGACAACGTAGCATACCTTTTGTGAGCCACCGCGCAGTAGAATTTGGGGGCGGAATGAACCATCACAGAGTCCTGCTCGCAAGGGCAAGGAACCAATGGAGCCCCGCTTGATCTATATCAATGGCGCTCCTGCATGCCTGTGTATGGAAGCGTGTCGCTTCATGCGCACGTGAGTCATGTTTGGCGCAGGCAAGTGAGTTTTGGTTCGTGGCCCCTTCTTGTTTATATAGGCATTGGACTGCAGTGGGATGCGCTGGCTGTGAGATCAGTTCGACGCCTATACAACCACACCCGTTGTGTTCCCAACACGAGACTTTCATGGGAGACGTTGGATATGCAAGGTGTCTACAGGCTAAGGCATGTAATTGGGTTTCACACCCTTCAACCCCCAACAGGTACTAGGTCCTTGACCTTTCTCATGCCACGTCGCGTCAAGTCGTGCCACGGTCGGTGTGCTTGGCGGAATGGTATGCTCCAGGATATATATATATTTACCATCGCGACTGGCGCAAAGTATGTTTTGAATCAATGGTTTACTACAAGGTGTGTATGCTAATCACAGTGGCGTGCTTATCTAGGTATACATGTATATAATGCACAGAGAGCGCCTAAACACAATTGCAGGCGGGTGACTTCGTGTTCTTGTGGGTTGACTTCAATACATCGGTTTGGCGTGCGGTGGACTGACTTCCTGTTGTGTGGGCTGCGAAAGGCGAACGCTCGTACACAGTGCTCGGCTGATGTAAAGCATAAATGACGTATCACATTGGCAGTAACATTGGGTGGGACATGTTTGGGACATACGTCCAACAAGTTGGGGTCCGTGTGAAATTCTGTGCAATCTCTCTCCTTCTTTGTATGTAAGCTTCAATGGCACAAGGACTTCCAGCGCCCTCAAGAACACTTGCTGGAACCCCAATCCAACTAGAACTGCGCCGCAAACACTCTCTCAAGCAGTCACCATTAAGCCACAATGTAAGAGGCTTTCGAGACCAAACGAATAGAAGAGGTTGCGTGCTTGTCCCAGAAATGCGACAAGGGAGGACCCTTCACCCCGAAACCAAAGCGGAGCCCTTTGGCTCCACGCTACGTACACACTTAGATGGTTGCTCGCAAGAGCTAGGATCAGAATGAAGTCCCACTTTACACGCATTAGACCTTGACTGAAAAAAGCGCAAAAGGAAAGGTGATGGGTCCGCGGATTTGAAGGTGTTTTAATAATGTGTTTCAACCGCGCGGCATCTAGACCAGATTAAAAATTGTGCAGGTACACATTCAGGCGTCCCTGAATGCTTCCACCAGTCTTCCGTAGCTTCGTTGGGCAACGTAGGAAGACTGGCCGTTGCCCCCTGCCTCTTTTTTTGCTCGCACTGTTTTTGATTTTGGTTTGGTTCCTAGTAGCAAGGCCAGGAGCAACTAGTAGCGTCCAGCCTTCTAGTGAGATCTACGGCAGGCAACCTTACTAGGCACAAACCTTGGAAACAGGTGTTAACACACACGCACTATGCCGCAATCGGCGCTCTGTATCCCTTTCCGTGAAACGATTGTTTGCAACAGCTTTGTACACGTAACGCCGATATCGACGCTCCGGAAGATTACCAGTCATCTATAAAAGCCTTAGAAAGACAGACAAAGAAAACAAAACAAAAGCACACGAAGAGGGCAAGAAAGAAAGATAGGTATAGTGACGAGGCCCACTTAGTTAAATGAAAGTAGTTAGCGAGCGGGACTTTTGTCTTAAACCGCCCGGGTAGCTAGGAGTAGGACAGGAGAAACAGAAGGAAAGGCGCCAACACACAAGTGTGTTGAGTGCGATTTCCTTCTGTTACCCTAAATAGCGGGTGGGATAGCAACAGTCAAGACCCTCCAGAACTCGAAGACCCACTTCACCGACCACCCAACCCTTACACAGCAACCGACCGCGACGTGGCCAAGCAGACCTATGGAACCAGCGCCCACAAACGAATACCCACCCAATTCACCCATGCTGGAGTACGTGGCCAAGGTCCTCACCAATGCAGGCATCAAGGCCACCGACCTCAAAGACCTGGAGGAGTGGGTGTACCTGCTCAATTTTTAATCTGGTCTAGACGCCGTGCGGTTGAAACACATTGTTAAAACACCTTCAAATCCGCGGACCCATCGCCTTTCCTTTTGCGCTTTTTTCAGTCAAGGTCTAATGCGCGTAAAGTGGGACTTCATTCTGATCCTAGCTCTTGCGAGCAACCATCTAAGTGTGTATCGCCACAGAGTCCCACTGACTGCTGTGGTGTGATCCCCACCGAGGGGCGCTGCGTGTGCGTAGACTCAGATCCTGGGGGATTTCTTCCACCTTGGAATTTCTTTTGATTGCTTCTGGCTTGACTGTTTTGCTCGATACCACTGATATTATGCCGCAGGGCTCACTGAGATTACGATCCAGTCAGGATTTGCACATGCGTCTAAGTATTCACCGGTACAGTTTCCACGACTAGTTCTTTCTCTCTTTCTGTTGCTTTTCGTTTTTTGAGGCTTTTCTTTAGGTTTCAGGTGTCTTTCAGGTGTCTTTCAGACAATGGGCGCGCCGGCCCACATCGGCTATACTTGAATGCCACTGATGGCAATGCCTTCGGGCCCCTCCCTGCCCCCGGCCTCTGCTTTGGGGGGGGAGTGGGATGTCGTGGGAGTGCCAGCAGGGGTTGGGGTGGTATCCGCGACATCTGGAGACGCGCTGAGTGGGGTGGTGAGTGGCGGCGGTGGAGTCGGTGAAGGAGTAGGTGGTGATGTGGAATCGGTGGGTGTTGCTGGGGGTGAATTGAGGGATTGTTCTCATGGTGAGCTGGTATTGGTTGAGAACACTCAATAGGGGAGCCTGTGTGTGTAGCAGCCTGTGTGGGGAGCGCTTGTGGCCAGATGTGTGAGTGGGGTGGTGGTGTAACAAGCATGGCCGTAAGCCACAAGTTGAAGCGGGGTCGGGCTGTTGAAGGGGATGCAACTGAGTCGAAGTGGGGATGGATTGGATCGTAGGTGGGAGCTGAACGATGTGGGCAGTACATAGGTCCAAGCTGAGGTGGCAAACTGGTAGGCGTCAAAGTCGATGTGTACTGAAGAGGTGAGTGGCTCATATGCGGTTGAAGCTGAGGGACTTGAAATTGCATTGTTGGCATCGATCCATAAGGAGCCGAAAGCCGTCCATGGTGCCTGGGCAAGAGGCCCGTAAGGTGCCGTGGTGGTCGTCATCGGTGAAGCCTGAGGGATCCACTGGTAGTTCATGGCGAACTGGAAGGAAGAAGGCAAGCTGAATGATGCACGCTCTAACATGTCTGAGTTCTAAGCCCCGCCTGTGACTACTTAGACGCGCAGACTGTACAGGTGAATACTTAGACACGTGCATGCATGAAGGTGCAAATCCGGATCAGAGTTTGAGTCTCAGTGAGCCCTGCGGCATAGTATCAGTGGTATCGAGCAATGACAGGCAAGTCAGAAGGAATCGAACGAAATGCCAAGGTGGAAGCAATCCCCCAGGATCTGGGTCTATGCACATGCAGCGCCCCTCAGCGGGGATCACACCACAGCCCTCAGTGGGACTCTGTGGCGATACACGCTTAGATGGTTGCTCGCAGGAGCTAGGATCAGTACAAAGTCCCCCTTGACTGGAAGAAAAGTGCACGAACCGAAAGGCGAGGAAGTCGGTGGACTTGGGGGTGTTTAACAAGTTGTTTTGGTGCACTGGCGGCTTACTGCAAAAACACAGAATTAGACAGCTTGGTCAACAGTTCAATGGATTAAATTAGATCGTCGCAGGTGCACATCAGGACGTCTCCCGATGCAGCGCCAGAGAATGTGGCGGTCTTCGTTGGCAGTGATTCCACAAACTCTGTCACTGCCCCCTGCTGCTCTATAGTAGCTAATTGTTGGAAACAGTCCAGAAGTAAAAAGATCAGAACAGTCGTAAGGTAGAGATTGAGAAATCCTTAGAGACAAGCGTTGACACACACACACACAAGTCCCCTGAGCAAGATTGGAACGCTTTGAGAACACGTGCAAACGTGCCCCCATACCAATTTTTGCAAGATTGCAATGAATGATTCCTGAGAAGTGGCATTGGAGAAACAGCTAGGCCTGCTACCCCGCTCCAACAGGCAGGTTATTGCGTATCATGAGACTTGGAATCGCCAACCGCTATTAACCGCTATTGGTGTATTTCTGCTACGGGCTTTGAACGTGTTGCGGAACGCAGGAAAGTAGGTCATGGATGGTCATGGCTGCGCAGCATGCACCTTTTGTTCACACAAGAAAAAGAAGCATCCCTAGTAGGTCGGAGGCCATCGTTATTAGATCCTAGCCAAGTCTGGACATGTGGTGCACTGGGACTGAGTTGTTGGACGAACTCTGAGCACCAGGCCTACAGTGGCACTGATGGGCCACAAGGAGTCACGCCATATCAACGGATCATTTGGAGGCGAAATCAGAATCAATGATATGTCACAGAAGTATTTTCTTCAGAATAGAAACCCTCGAGCTAACGAGCGCAGGTCCATTTTCTTGGAAACAGTTTTGACAAATTTGCGTTTTGCCCCTTTTTTGTCACTTGGCTTGTTGCAAGCTGACACTACTGAACTCGCAGTTCAAGTATTCAGCCTCTGTAACAGACGCTATGCAAGCGCCCCTTTGCAACGAGTCAGCAGCGCTGAATTCTGATGTCAATTTTGCAAAGCCACTCACCAGTGGTCCACAAGTTTGTGCACCCAGCAACAGTACTCTTTTCAAGAATAGCATGTACACCGACAGAACGATAGGCCATCCAACTACTTGTATATAGTCCCTTGTTCCACCAGGCTTTAGTTTTTTAGTTGCCTATGGCGTTAGCAGCATCAAGTGGTCGACTTGGTGTGGACGCATCATTGGAACTATCCTCTGACGAGGAGACTGGGTTGCGGCTGCCTTGGGGCATTCGGAAGCGGCTTTTGCACAAGGGCACCGGACCGGAGAGACCAATCAGCGGAGATGAGGTCAAAGTGCACCTCCAAGGAAAGCTGCAAGATGGTACATCTATCACCTCCAGTGAAGAGCCTTTCAGCTTTATCATCGATGAGAGACCGCGGGAAGTTATTCAGGGCTTAGAACTGGGTGTGCAGACCATGACAAAAGGTGAAGTGGCGGAGTTCACGATCGCGCCCAGGTTTGCCTATGATGACTTGGGTGCACCGCCATTGGTTCCACCAGATGCTACGCTAATTTTTGAAGTGGAGCTTCTGGACTGGGAGAACAAGTCGGACGTACTAGGAGATGGCCGTGCCATCAAGACAGTCACAGAACGTGGTTCTGGCAAGCGGAAACCAGAGATGGGACAGGATGTGGAGTTGTCCCTGAAGGTGACATCCAGAAAAGGCATCATTTTGCATGAGCACCGCCAGATGGAGCACACAGTGGGCGAACCAGACTTTGGGCAGATCTCTCCGATTCTGGTTGAGGTCCTCAGAAGCATGAGCGAAGGAGAGCGATGTAATGTGTTGCTTCGGCGCTTTGCCGGCGATAAAGTGGTTGACAACGCGCACAGTGGAGCCAACATTGACATCACCTTAATGCGCATCTTCGAAACAACCGACATCTCCCCTGAGAAAGATGGGTCGCTGCTGAAGAAATGTTTGGTGACTGGCAGTGGAGCTCCGCCAAGAGCTTTTGATCAGGTATGTTTGCGGATAGTCCAAGTGACTGATGGCAATGGCAAGATGCGCAAAGCGCTCAGCGACGGTGGCCAAGTTCTGAACTTTGGTTTGGGTGAAGGTCATGTGTCTGATGCTTTGGACTTTGCTGCTGCATCCATGGTAGTGGGAGAAGAGGCTAAGCTCATTTGCAAGGCTCCTCTCCATTTTGCAGAAGCACAGCTAGGTCTAGACGCATCACTTGAGAAAGCCATCATTCATGCCAGTTTGCTAAGTGTGAGCCCTGGTCCCAACTTGGAGGAGCTCAAAGACGAAGACCTGGTGAATGCTGCTGAAGGGCTGAAGGACAAAGCGGGAGCTCTATTTAAATCTCAACGGTTTGCTTTGGCACTGCAAGTTTACACGAGGCTGTGTTCGTCATTGGATGGAAAGCAGCAATCAAAGGTCCAGAAGATTCAGCGTCTTTGCGAGCTCAACCAAGCGGCTTGCTTTCTGAAGCTGGGGAAGCCACAGCAGGCCAAACAGTCTTGTGATCGCGTTTTGGAGCACAAGGGTGCCGAGCCTGAGCGCCCACAACAGCTGAAAGCACTCTACCGGCGCGCAACTGCAGCATTTCAGCTCTCAGACTTTGAAGGATCCATGAGAGATTTGGTGGAACTGCTGAAGCTTCAGCCCAGCAACAGTGAGGCCCGTGCCTTAGCTGAGCAAGTTCGAGGGGCTCAACAGGGTTACGCCAAAGAGGCCAAAGCAGCTGCTGCGCGCATGTTTGGTGCAAACCAAGCAGCCTCCGAGCAAGTCGTGGAGCAGGTGTCGCTACTGCAAAGACTCCTACCATGTTTGCCGTGCCCCTCCTGGGAACGTGAGAACAAAAGCGCGCTGTGAGAGTTGCTGAAGTTGGTGCCGATTTGCAGACATAGACGAAGTCGCAAGCATGCTTGTGTCCAACATGGATCCAGATTTGTGTTCCAGAGATGCTCGCACTCAGAACCTCAGTTGGTGAGGGCTTTCTTGATCTTTTTGCCCGCATATTTTCCGCAGAGCCTACATGGAATCCAGTTCTTTTTTGACCTTGTGTTCATGAGGTCAGATCATTCGATCTCCAAGGGTGGCTGGCGTCTTTGTCCACCGAGGGCTACATCTCAGGAGGTCCAACAAGTTGCTGGATTTTGGTTGTGATCCAGCGACTTTCAAGAACCAAAGAATAGAAAACGCACAGACATGCGTGTCATGCGTGTTTACATATCATCAAGTTTCCTTTGCTCATAAACAATTCGAGAAAAAGCGTCTATTCTCGTTACAGACATTCTGAATGCCGCTTAATGTGTACACTGATTGCTGCCAGGTTCAGCAAGGACACCCACCGCATGTGTTGGTGGGTTTGCCTGCGCTCGGAACTGAGACAGAAGACTGGATTTGCATGATGGCAAACGCTTGGTGGTCCCATTGATCTCCTGCTTCAATTATTTGTGGATTTATGCAGTGCTTTAGAACGACTATTTTGCTGCATTCTGCCAGTAAGAATGCTTCATGCGCCAGGATTGTCTTTGCAGGATTCTGCATGGTTTGCTGTGCCCCAAGCTGGAAATCCCTGCGAAGGCTCGGTTTGCGGCACTCTTTGGCTCCTGTTTGTTGGTTTTGTTCCTTTGAGTTCTTTTTTCATCAGGAGTTTCTTCTGTTTGTTTGCTTCTAATAGATCCGAAGGCAAAGATAGAAACACAAAGGAAAGGAAAGGAAAGGCATGTAAGAACAAAAAGATGATAACAAGGAACAAGAAATGCTTCTTTCTAACGATAGTTTTTGGTTCCTATCTTCCGGCCACCCTGGTAGCAAGTTTACGCGAGGGTAGAATTTGATAGTTCTTCGGCAAGGTGGGGCGCAACGCCTTCGCCGTCGGCCAGAGTCAATGATTTTGACCAGGATGGACTTGACTTCTCCAAACTCCCAAACTACGGTTTAGGGTTCTCGTAAAGACAGTCTGTGTTTTTGTTTTCACTCGTAATTGCCTTTCTTTGCCGTGCATTTCTGAATTCTCCGTAGAGTCAGTGGAACACATTGAGTAGGAGCACAGCGTTTGTGGGGACGTGGAGACCATGTGTGATGAGGCGGGCTTGTGATAGAGCGTACCATACCTAGATCTTCCATTGGCAAGAAAGACAATTGTAGAATTTGATGACATTTGAGTGTACCTGCTCCCAAATTATCCATCCATGTTCTCCTGGTAGAATCTCGCACGCAACTCTTGGTTTCCCTAGGCCGTTGGCCATTGGCTCAATAGACCACCAAGAAACTACCAACAGGTGTCCCACGATTTCGGCTGTTTTTCTTGGAAGGTTCGTCTTTAGATCTGATAACACAATTGGGCACCAAGGAGCATACGCACGAGTTCTTCTACAAGTCTACAATAGCATTAACTATTTGTATACTGTAACAGTAATATGTGCATGTGTATTTGTATATTATGAGAACGTGCAACATGTCAGTTCCATGAGCATGCCAGGTTCCTGAAGGTCTCACCACAGCTTTTGTCACGACCCCGCACGACAAGGTGCACCTTCGGCCCAAATTTGCCTTAGAAAAGGCTGCGCGTCCTCACGCACACGTGCTGCCTAGTTGGCAGCGGAGCCTGCCCGGCTACCGCCTGCCGTCGACCTCGCGCCATGCCGTTGCAGCGGCCGGATCCCGGCAGCACTGGTCCTGATGGTGATCTCCAGGACCAGTCACCAGTGGACGGCGGCTCCCTTGGTGCTTCGTGGCGCCCGACCTTGGACGCTTCTCTCCCGAGCAGCCGAGCGACAAGCTCGGACCCTGACGCCCACTTCGAGCCCGACGAGTTCTGGGCATGCAGGCATTGTGGCTCAGGCGACTACTCATGGGATGAGAGCATCCTGGAATGGCGCTGCCCCTGCTGCGGATCGAGCGAATTCTCTTCGCGGCCACTTGGCCCTGGCGCGGACGGCGCATGGTTCTTCGTTCCCAGCGGCCTTTTGAGTTCTGAGTCCAATCCACTAGTAGCACCAGGTGTGAGCTCCACTACATCATGGACTATGCCAAGGCCCATGGCGTCGCAGCCTGGTCGACCCCTTTATGGACCTTGTCGCCGATCTCATGACCCCGGACCTGGACAATCCCATCTACCTTTTGGTTTTGGGCAGCCGCTACAACCTAGCGGGTCCGGATGGCAACCTCCCCAAGTCCATGGTTACCCTCATAGAGCACCTCAAGAAGACCCCGACGGGTTCTGGGAGTCCTCCAACAAGGAGGCAGCTGAAAGTGAGGCACCGACACATGATCCAAGTGTTCATCCAAGTGACCCACCAGGTCCGACCACGTCCCCATCAGGAGCTTCCTCGACGGCTTCCCGGAGGAGGCGAAGGCGACGACGTGGAGGACCAGGTGATCCACCAGGTGACCCACCAGGCGATCCGCCAGGCGGCCCACGAGGTGACCCACCTGACGAACCAGACGATCCAGAATATCCTCTACCAGGTCTGCCACGAGGTTCAGCTTCTCCCAATAGGTTGAACACTCCCTCAAACAGACCGCCTTCAGATCCTCCATCGGCAAGTCCCGGCAAGAGCTCGGCCAGTTCATGGAACAGCGTGAAAGGCCCCATGCAGGGAGTCAAGTTTCGCGGAGGACAACCTCCCTTGCCACCAGCTTGGCACTACGATCGGAGTGACCTGGCTGCATTTAGAAAATGGCGCAAGCGCGTCGAGATGTGGTCACTCCAAGTGGTGAACTATGTCCCCAAGAAGGAGGCCGGCATTTTGCTGTTCAACTCCCTCAAAGGCGAGCTTGAAGAAGAGCTCGAAGATGCCGATGTTGAGCGCATCTACGATGCCAATGGAGTGGGCTTCATAGTGAACACCATCCAGAAGGCCGTTGAGACCCGGACGGTGCACTTGAAGCGCCAACTCCTGTCCACCTACGAGCACATCTACCGGAATGCCAACGAGAGCATGAGAGCATTCACGAACAGATACCAAAGGACCGAAAGGTCCCTGGCCACCATCAACATCAAGGTACAGGACATGTACGACAGCGAAGCCAGGGGCGCAAGGCTCCTAGAGAGAGAGCCAAGTTGTCACCGGAACACCAACGGCAAGTCCTCATCGGCACTGGACAATCGCTGGAGTTCGAAACCGTGAAGGACGTCCTCCTCTTCCAGTGGCCAGATCATAAACCCCTGCCACCAGCGCTGACACCTCATGATCGAGGAAAAGGAGTTTCTCGACCACCGCCTCAGCACTTCCTGAACAAGAGCAAGGGGAAGGGCAAAGGAAAGCCTCAGACCAAGCAGGCCTTCGTGACCGAGGCCAATGAGGCGGAAGATGAGGGGCCCGAGATTGAAGATGACGGCGTTGATGACACCGCCGACTACCAGGACGAGAACGAGCACGAAGATGAAGAACCTCCTGAACAGGAGGACGGCGATGATGAGAATTGGGAAGACCCTGAGGTCCAGCAGATCCTCAGCGTCACAGCACGCAAGTTGGCGGGCGTTCTTCAAGCCCGAAAGTATGGCAACAGCAGCACATCATCCAGTGCACCAAGGCGGAGCATTGCAGACCGAAAACGAACGACACACTGCTCAGCCTGCGGACAACAAGGGCACTGGGCAGGAGACCCAGAATGCAGCGTGAGCAATAAAGGCAAGTCCGCAAAGGGCACTGGTAAGAGCGACAACAAGGGTGGCAAGAATCCCAAGGCCGTGCACTTTTTGAACCACTACGGTGGGCACGATGATGAGGAGCCCGATGACAACCATCATGTCTCCCACACCGTGTATGTTTCTCACTTGGTGCCATCACACCAGGTACACCTGCTGGACGCGACAAAAGCGGCCGGACACATCATTTTGGACACGGCATGCCAGCGACTGTGTGCTGGCAAGGGTTGGTTTGAGGCCCAGAAGAACAAGCTCCTTTCATGGGATGTCACACCAATTGAACTTCCAACCTCCGAGTTCTTTGAGTTTGGTAAGGGCACACCCATCGAGTCCACCTTCAGCATGTACTACCCCATCCAACTTGGTGAGTACATCTGCATCCTGGCGCCATGCATTTTGGAGGCTACTATTCCCTGCTTAGCAAGTCGAACATGGCTCCAGGAAGTGGGTGCAGTCATCGACCTTTCCAACCAGTCGGTCTATTTCCATGTGTTTGAGGTCACGGTCCCCTTGGTTTTGGTCAACGGACACCTCGGTTTGGACATGTCGCACCGCCGTCGCCAGCAGGATTGTTTTGATTTTTGGAACGCCCATCAACGAGAGATTCACGATGAATGCAGTCAAGGGCACGTCCGTGAGTTCATTTCATACCCGCTATCACATCAAGCTCAAGTCACGGCGCAAGCCTCTCCGCCTCAGTCGGGGTGGAGCCCTGCTGCGGATGCACCTCGATCGACCTCCACCGCCTCCGTGGCTATGGCGCTGGCGCTACCTGGTCAAGAAGGTGGTGGGCTGGGCAAGACAGGCCCACCGGTTCCTCCGACTGCCTCAACGCTCGGAGGAGACACCATTGGCCGCTGCGAAGACCAAGGCCAAGGCCATGAAGGCCAAGTTCAAGCCGGAGACCACCTATCTGGCGACCACGGACTGCGAGCACCAGCACGTCAAGAGGTCAGGGAATCGGCACGGAAGCTATGCTCAGTGCCTGGACTGCAAGATCAAGTGGAAGTGGAACCCCACTCTCCGAGGTTGGGAACACTTCATCGCGGCCTCCAGTTCCTCACAATTGCCACCGCCTTCCTTGGGCACTGTCTTGGATCAGTCATGGACGGGCAGCCCAACCGGCTACAAGAACACGAGCGACCAGCTGCCGCTGCCACCTTCGACGCGGGCTACCCGAGCTACAACCTCGACGAGATCTTCGGCAAGGACCTCCGGCCCACTGCCCAAGGCCAAGGCGGGCCAGCGACAACAGAGTGTCTGGGATTTGGTTCAAGACCACCAGAGGAGACACGGTCCAGCTTCAAGACCGACACCAGTTCAGGACACCTCTCACCTGGACCTCGAGGAGCTGCTGGAGAGCGACCTGGCGCGCTGGGAAGAGGCGGAACTGGGAGCCGACGATCCACGACTTCCTCCGGGATGGAACCCGGAATGGGACGTCATGATCGACCAGACGCAGGAGCCACCAGTCTTGGAGGTGAGCGAAGACGACTACGACTGGGAGAACTACGGCGACTCACTGGCGTCCTGAATCGCTCAGCGGACATCCTGGCCGTCGAACAGAAGATCTATGAAGCACTGCCCACGGCCCAGAATGTCCCCAAGATCGACATCATGGAGCTCTATGCTGGCTTCGCCGATATCTCCTTCCTCGCTCACCAGTATGACTTGCATGCCTTGGAGCCCTTCGACCTGCTCTATAACAAGGACATGACACGCCGCCGAGATAAGTTGGCATGGCGGCGCGCGAGAAAGGAACACCGTCCACTACTGGTCGTAGTTGAGACGGAGTGCACAGAATGGAACATCTTCAACGAGAACCTCAACTACCTGGGCAAGAACAGAATGGATGAGCTTGAAGCCAAGCGGGAACTCCAATACCCTCTGGTCAAAGAAGGAGTTCATGCCTGCTATGACCAGATCAACGATGGCAACCTCTTCCTCTTCGAGAACCCCGCAGCTTGAAGAATTTGGGAACTGCCTGAACTACAACAGCTGGCAATCAGAGATGACACCTATGTGGTCCAATGCCACTCCGGTGCCTACGGAGGATGCAACAGTCGCGGAGAGCCCATCCGCAAGCTCTATCAATGGATCACCAACTCACTCGAGCTGGCAGAGGCACTTTCCAAGAAGATGACACCTGAACAACTGGCCTACTGCGTCCCCTTGATTGGCAAAGAGGTCCGCAACAGTGCCAGATATCCTGAAAAGCTCTGCAGAGCAATTCTCAAGGCCCTCAAGGCCGAAGCTCGTAAGAGATGGCCACAACGTTTCATCAGGCCCAACGAGGTCCTCTACGAAGAGCCCATGCAAGATCCTGCAGCCTGGATGGACGCCATCAACAAGACCAGGCGAGTTTTCGAGATGACCTCAGTCAGGAGCATCAATCTTCCTGACACAGACCCGCTCTATGCCGAGATCGCCAACCTGGTACCCTGGGAGCTGACAAGAGTCCAGATCGCACGGACACCAGCCCAACGGCGACTGCCACGAGACATCCTGTTCACACATCGTGGTGCAGCCATCGAGTACCAGGACGGACAACTGGCAATCGAAGCCGAGTCTTTGGATGGAATGCACTTCCCAAAGCAACGGTTTTCAAAAGGTGTGTCTCTAGCCATCTTCTGGTTCGGCTATGGCGAACCTAAGGCATCACCACCACCGGAAGAACAACCACCTAAGGAGACACCGCCACAGCCTCAGCCAGACGGTAGCAAACCACCGGCACCCGCACCGTCGAGGCCAACTGAAACTGTTACTTTCAAGAACTGCCCAGCTGACGCGCCACAAGAAGTTTGTTCGGCGGTGAAGCGATTGCACCTCAACCTTGGACATCCAACGGAGAAGGAACTCCTCCGACTCTTGGCATACCAAGGAGCTATCTCCAAGCACATGATCACAGCCGTCAAACACCTCCATTGTTCCAGTTGTTCCAGGAACAAGCCACCTCTGAAACCACGTCCATCGGCAATGCCAGTGGCCAACATGGGCCAGTTCAACGACACCATCCAAAGCGACGTCTTCTACTGCAGAGACGTGGTTGGGACGAACTATGCCGTTCTGGGAATCATTGACCAGTCCACCTTACTGCATCAAGCCTGTCGGCTACAGGACATGTCATCCAACCACACCCTGGAGATCTTCCGCAACCTGTGGTTCAAGCCATACGGTTTTCCAGGAACCATCAGGACAGATCCCGGAACAAACTATGGCCTCCACTTCAAGCAGTACGTGGAACGGCGCGGGATCTGGCTGGAGATCATCCCAGCCGAAGCACACTGGCGCATCGGCCTCATCGAGCGCCGCAACAGCGTCTTAAGGGACATCCTTGAGCGCATCATCGACGCAGAGTCCATCTTCAACGTCAACGACTTTGACCAAGCCCTGGACTCAGCAGTCTTCGCACTCAACAGTATGACATACACGCACGGCAGACCGCCATACATGGCAGTCTTCGGACAGATACCACGCATAGGGGCAGGACTCCTACAAGATGACACAGCACTCATCTGCCATCCAGATCAACAAGGGATGGTAAGACCCGACATCCTCAGAGCAGAAGCCATCAAAGCACTCGCTGACATCAACACCAGCCAAGCCTTGCGGAGAGCACTACTCCGGAAGACAGCAACCACACATGCAATGGACCTTCAGCCCGGGCAGAACTGCGCCTACTGGAGGTGGCAGGTCCCAAACAAACGTTCAACAAAGAAGAAAGGAGCCTGGATCGTCGCGAGATTCCTCTCATACGATCCCGACGGCAAGTCAGCATGGCTTCACAGCGGAACAACGACGGTACACGTGGCACTCGAGCAACTTCGCGGAGCAGTTGGTTTTGAACAATGGCAGCCAACCCGCGAAGACCAACAGGTGCTGAAGCAAGCAGCAAACAACATCCGCCAAGACCTTTGGCAGGAGCATGCAACAACAGCACCAGCACTGGAGGAAGACACCTATGAGTACCACATGGACAACCTGGAGAACACCGACATCGCAGCAGCTGGAGCAGGCACGACAGAGGAAACCACAGTGGCATTACCTCTCGCACCACCTCCAGCAACAGCTACGTCCACCGAAGAGACGAAGACTAGAGATGAACAACCGACGACAGTGCAAGTGCAGCAGCAGCATATGGAACAACACTTGCAGCAGCAGCACAGCACAACAACGAACCTTCGGCTAGGAGATGTCCACTTTCACTCCTACCCGACGTCACCGGCCCAGAGACAAGTGACACCTCTGGACTATCACACACAGCGTTTTGGACTCACACGCTCAGCACGGTCCAGAACACCGACAAACAGGAGACTGACACCCAGAGGAGATGTCACCACAGCTTTTGTCACGACCCCGCACGACAAGGTGCACCTTCGGCCCAAATTTGCCTTAGAAAAGGCTGCGCGTCCTCACGCACACGTGCTGCCTAGATATTATACACTTAAGTTTGCACCTTTGATCAACTGCGTTTTTCTTCATCTACCCACACTTTGTTGCAGGTCACTCTTGAAGACCCTGTTGTGGCAAGCGAAATCCGAACAGGGCTTTTGGAGAGGCAATTGGACAACCTAGTTGGAGTCTATGGTCATTCTGCAAGCTTAGCAGAGTGTCGAACAGCAGCTGGAGGTTTAGACTCAGGAGAGTAGCAGGTTAAAGTTCAAGGGTGCTTTTCTCAGGATTGCTGTTTCTGCATTAAACGAGTTACAGCCGCATTGATTTGTGTCAAGTGCTTCATTTCTTTGAAGCTTTTCACGATCTGCGGCTTTCTGCAGAATGGATGCGCCGGATGAGCTCGAGCCAACTGCTCCAACATGAGGGATTGCTTTGCTGGTTCGTCTTGCAAAGTGTTTTGAGCAGCTCCACAAGCTGCTCCTATCCGTAGTGTCCTCCATGCTCCATATGTTTGTAGATATGCTTTTAAGAAATCTTCAGGAAACATGTACAAAGCTACAGGCCTGAAGGTAGCATTATCGTGTAAGTTAAAAAGTGGACTCAGGAAAGCTCCTGAAGACCAGTTAAGCGATGGTGGCAGTGGCTACTGGCGTTGAGAACATAAGGATCAACTTTTGTTTTCTGGCTCTTATGCAGAGGACCCAAAAGTAGGTTTGGAATTTGGACCATCATGCTCCGTCAGACATGATTTAGCCAGTCTATATAGGAACGCACCATTCACCAACTCAAACGACTTTTAGCGGCAAACCATGGGAAAGCGTGTTGCTGAAGGCGGGATTTGTGGGCTCTTGTGGAAACTCGCGACCTGATCGAATCACGAGAGGCAAAAGCAAACAACAAAACTCTTCTTTTGTTACATGTAGTCCTAGACTTCAATTTCCGAGATGGTTCGTGAAACTGAACCATGATGAAAAGTAGGTGACTTCAAGGGTGCTATTCAATCAAGAGTTTGTGCCTGAAGCGTGGCTCTTGTTTGCAGTCAGCCGCTCAATCAGCTTTGATGCAAAGGCACAGTTTTCCTGCAGCTACGGGATGCAAAACCTGCAACAGGGCAAACAGAATGAGTTTTAGAGAATGCGCCAGTTGGTTCAGGCATCAAAAGAGTGAAGCAAAGCCAGCGAGAACTGGAGTCGTCTATTCTTAGGCATGGGCCGAGAGATTTGTTGTCACCTTGTCTTTCTCTGAATCTGACATCACAGAGGCACACTTTGCTTCACTCATTTGTAGCAAGATTCTCTTATTTGGTTAGGAGTGGATCTTGGACAGGTTAGTACCGACTTTGGGAGTTGCTTATAAATATCGCGCTGTCTCAAAGCGCCGAAGCAATCCTGATGATCTAGCGAAGTCCTTCAACAAAGAAGTCAGACGCAAGACTTTGTAGGACTGAAGCCACTGGAAACAAAGTTATCCTAGGCTTTGGGATGATGGTCAATACAGCAAACGTGCAGAGTGTGGATGAAGATGGATGTTGGAAAGATTGATTGGACGTGTTGGAGCCAACCTTAAAAGGAAAAGAATATAGGGTGATTTCAAGGGAAAATTATTATTGTTGTTTTTAGTGGGAATCATATACTGTAGTTTTTTTTTTGGTGGTTAGGTGGCTTTGGTGGCTTTTGTGGCTTTTGTGGCTTCTGTGTGGGTTTTGATGACTTTACTACTTTTCTAGTCAAAATCTCTACTTCTGATGCCATACCCCCTCAAAATCTATACTTTTGATAACTTTTCTCCTGAAACATGTTTGATGAATTGTCTGCTGAATTCTCTGCTCTTGATGACTTTACTAATTACAATCGCTACTTTCGATAACTTTTCGGGTAAAATCGCTACTTTTGATGACTTTTGTATTGCAATCTCTCTTTTGATGAGTTTTCTATTGCATTCTTTGTTTTTGATGACTCTTCTAGACAAATTTATTCTTGTAATTCCCAATCAAAACAACAATTCAAGTCCCGACCCAATATTATTGCTGTCCCGCTATGCAACATCGCCCGTTTAGGGAGCGACACCAGTAGAAGGGAACAGCTCGCAATGACTTGAGACCGCACCACTGACTTGCAGGCGATGTGCCAGCGGGCGAGATCGCCTAGACAAGAGGCCAACAACTAATTTTTTAGTTCTGCATGAAGGTATTTGTTGATTATGCCTTTTGCACAGGCATATAGAAGTAGCTCTGACGCACCTAAGTCTTGGCCTTCTTGCAGCCTGCAGTCAGTGGGAGGCTCGCCACCGGAGTCAAGATCATCAAGGTTGCTCCTGGTTCCACTGGAAGCAAGGAGTTGCACAGCATCGGCCACATCCAGAAGGACTTTCCTCGACTTTCCGCGTTTTCGTGAAAGGACTTTCCTCGACTCTGGAAACGTGATGAGGGTGACCGAACCAAGATTCGAGGCTCTGCCGAATGGTGCCCTGCATTCATTTCATGATATCTTGGAAGCGATAGCGGCTCGTTGATCCAGTATTCTTTTTGTGAGGACATGTTTGTGCAGGGTATCCTGCTAGCCATTCGGCCGATTCCAACTCCAGGATAATACTATACATAGAAACTGATCCAGCAATGCTGACACTGCTGGTTTATTCTGATAGCATTACTAGCATTGCATTTTTGTTTGCAGAGCACCATTGCCTTGAACAAAACAGTGACAGACCCAAAAGGTACATCCCTCGAAGAGCAGATCTCAGGAGACGCTTGGCTGGCTGGTTTTCCAGTTTTAGATCCTTTTCTTGTTCATACCTCCCAGCACTTGCTTCACAAGGATTACAAGGATTCTTTCACATCGAGTTGCATATGCTTTTCATTTGCATTTTGGCGGCGCTGTGTTTGCTGAAAGATTGCTATTGCATTTATTTGTATATATATATATACATCTATCCACATACACATGTGGAGAGTGAATCCTCAAGATGACCGTGACAGACTGGACTGGTCGACCAAAAGAGAACAAGTAGCACGTGGGAAATTCACTCAGGAGTCAGACACCCAAAGATGAAACGAATTGAACCAAGACCCAGATCAGCCAGGTTTGCGCATGAAAGGCTCTCTGATGAAACGAGGAACCATACCTATCACCTGAAGAGAGAAGTTTTGTTGCAAGATGTTGTAGGAGAAGTAGCAGCTAAGAGCATAATGGCTCGGGAGATGCTAGTTTTAGACTTGAGCGTCGGGACCTTTGGTAGAGCATCAGGCACTTCAAAGCTCAAGTGTCAGACTTCATGGCTCGCAATTTGCCCAAACAAACTTTGTTTCGCGCCAGGGATGCTTTTTCTCCATGGAGGCAGCTATGTGGTTTACGCTCCTTGTGATTATGTGTATCGATCGCTGGCCTCGCGATTGGCATCCCAATGTGGCCAGGTGCTGAGCAGACAGCAATCTGTTCTGCAAAATTCATGTCTCGCGAGTTATGTTTGCTGCTGCTGCTGCTGATGATGATGATGATGATGATGATGATGCTGGAAGTTCTTTGACCATCTTATGATCGGTCACGGTCAAGCAGGCTTTCTGCCGGTAGATGCCTTGCCAAGATTGTATGACGTGAAAAGCGCAAGAAGATCAGGGAAAAGCAATATGCCAGCTGCTGACATGCCACGGCCAACTGTGTATGTTCGCTGCACGACGGCTTTTTCAAGGCCTTTGTGTCCTGTCCATCGACTACCGACTGGCTCCGGAGCATCGCTTTCCAGCCGCTTTTGAGGACGCTTGTGTAGTAAGCTCAGTGGCGCAGATCACTTAGACCTAGGACCTAGCCCTTCTGTTGTTGTTGTCAAAACTAAAACCGAGCCGCAAACGCAGAACAACATTTTTCCCGCAAGCGTTTCCGAAATAGTACACTTGCCCCTCTAGACCTACAAGCAGCAGACTTTGCAATGCTGCACTGCTGCTTCAGGTCTGCTTCTGTCGCAGATGTGCAAGTTCCACACTTGAGACTTGTACATCCGCAGTCCGCCACAAGTACACCTGCAGCTTGCAGGTCTGCTCGCTGCTTCAGATGTGGCGGTACTACACTTCCTATCATAGATGTGCTGCTGCTTGAGATGCATTCTTGCAGCTGCGAGTGTAGATGTGCAAGCAGTAGATTGCTGCGGGCCTTGCGGTCTTGCTTCAGCAAGCACTTCTGCTAACTTGCCCTATGCTCACATCCAGTATGACATATCTGAGTTCACGCGCGCGTCGCGCATCTAGGCTCTTTATATCTCTTCTTTCCTTAGCTGGCGGGCTGGCTGGACAAGGCTTGCGAAACGTGACCCTGTGCGGGAATTGTGGGACGCTCAACCTTGGGGTGACATGCGAATCCGCCATTTGCTCGATGACTGTTGGAGGCTCAAATGTGAGGTGAAGCAATTACTGATGAACCCTTCCAGGAACTCTGTGTGTGTGTGTAACCCTTGGAATCATAGGGATCCTTTCGGATTGTTTTCGCTTCACAGTTGTTTTCCTTGTGTAGCAGGGGGACTGGAGCCGATTTGCCTATCCAGTCCAACGAAGCTATGGCATTTCGGCGGATGAGTGGTCTGATCAACCACTTGTACCTGCGCAATTTTTAAACCTTTGGTAAAGGGCTAATGCACTCGGCAGACATGAACGAACGTCGTCAGCCTGCTCGATCCGCGATCGTCGATGGGTTTCTTCCGCTTTGGGCCTTCTTTCCTCTTAAAGTCCTCCAGGTTCCCGTGGTTCGTACTTGTTCCCTTAGGAATTGGAACCCTAGGCCGGCGTGTGGCACCGCTTTCAGTTCAGTACACCCTATCCTAAGTGTGTTTGGCTTCGTGCCAACCCGGGATGAGCCCGCAGAGTGCCTCCCGTGGACCCGTCGAACGGGTGTACGTCGAACGTATCCACTGCCCGGATACAGAGCAGCTCGCAGCGAGCGTAGGTGGCGCAGGCCGTACGTACGATGATTTTGTCCCATCTTTGGAATTCTAAGCTGGCTCATGCCTTTACGTGACCGTAGCGGTCAAAGATGGCAGCCCCTGGGCACGCCGTACGTGGTCGCAGCGACCGAAGTTTGTTCAAGGTTCATTGGAACCTGTCGCGACCTTAGCCCCCTTCTCCCCCTTCCCTTCCCCCTTTCTTTCTTTGCTTCCTGGGGTTTTCCTGAATGCAACACTCAGGATCACCCCTCTCTTTCTTTGGTGTGTCCCTGGACGCTTGTTCGTAGCTGGGAACACCTGCCTTTTTCTTTTTCTCTCCTCTCCCTTTCTCTCCCTCTCTCTTTCTTTCTTTCCTTCTCTCTCTCCTTCCTCCCTCCTTGGGTGTC